TAATAAATAGAATGTTTTGTGAAATTGAAAATTCTTTAATAATAAATATCTTTAAAATAAATCTTTATTTTATATTATTAAATCGTCATTTATAATAGTAACACAAATAAATTTCTGTCTATATTCAAATTAAATTATATAGTTATTGAAATTGTTATTATATAATTATTCAAACAAAATTATACAAATTACGTATCGAATAATTACGAATCTCTTAAAGAATATAAATGTTAAGTGCGATTATTAATTCTAACAAAGATTTAAATGTAAATTCCAATATTTTAATTTAATTACTTTAATATTTTTAATATTATTTACCAACGCTGAGAATAAGATTACTACGTTACTTTTTTATACTCTCACTTTCAAGTATGTATACTATGTTCGTAACAATGCGTTGTGTTATTAAATCGAACATATTCACAATAGAGTTTCACATATCGTACGGTTGTGCGTGTACATATAAATCTCGCCTAGAATTACTCGAAGGAACGTGGCCGATCGATGAGTAAAATCAAGCCATCACGAATGGTCATTTCTGAACGGGCATATATAAAGCTATATAATATACTTGGAAGTTATAGACGGATATTTTTAACTACTATAGTTACATACGTAATGTAGCTATCGTGATACGAAGTTTTTTATATATTTAATTAAATAATTACTAATTATTAATCTTTAAAACTAATAATTTAATTATATACTCATAATTAATGTATGTGCTTTTAATGTACAGAAAGAATTAATATAAAAGAATATCTTTTCGTGGTAACTTTTTATTTCTGACTGATTTGAAAAATCCCCTGTATAAAAAATGATTTATTAACCACGAACATCTCTGAACTTACATAATTGCCCCATCATTCTTGCGCGGATTTATACATGAGCGGCTTGATCTGTCAACGCACTTTCAAGCGGAAATTCGTCGCAACGCACCTAACAATTTGCATGTTCGATCAGCGTGCCAAACAATCCTAATCGAACAACGGGACGGCGAGATCGATATCGATCATCAACCGGAAGTGGGAGGCGCGGAAAAATATCTTCCGCGAAAGGAGTGGAGATAAAAATTCCAATTATTTAATATTAATTTAATTGAAGAGCTTGCTACAACAGTGAGCTCCATTTTGTATTAAATAAATTGAAGTTAAAATAATAGAAAAATATCAATATCTCGTATTCGATTATATTATGTGAGATGTAATCCACTTTAACTTTAGAATTAATTTACTTCGTTTTTACACTGAAAAAATATACTAAATTTTAATGAATCGTTTATTTGAATAAGTAAACTAAAATATAAAAATATATTTGATAAGAATTATTAATTTAATTTGACAATCTTTTGAGTAAATATTTATTTATTGTAAATAAGTGTTTAATTGGCATTATTCAAATAAATTAATTCACTTGCAGCAAGTCCTTCGATTGTTAATAATTATCAATTTTTTTTAAGCTCTAGTGCGAAAAAATATCCGGCTGAGAGAGATGATGTAATAACAAAATATGACGCGTGTATGATCGATCCACATATTTTTATAACTTTATACATTTTAAGCATCGATATATCCTTTAGCGACAAATATAGCTAAAGTGTCGCAACTCCTTTTTTAGTCGTAAACGATTGACGTAACGTCGCGCATAGCTTAGTTCGTTTAACGACTAAGAACTGCCTTCGTCTAAATGTTTGCGCGTCGCTAATTTATAATATTAGCCATGATGATGGGTCGGCGAGCTGTCGAGTTAACTTGCCAGCATAGCGTTACAGAACGAGTCGCCCTCGAATAAGCCTGCAGATGCATGGCAAAAAATATCCTACAGTAAACCAAATCAAGAAAAACACGAGTACCAGATATGTTCGATAATACATCAATAAAATAAAAATTGAAGAACAGTGCAAAAAGATATATATATAATTGCAAATAAATATAATAAAAAAATTAAGATATATAATTACAAATAAATGCAATATAAAATTAAATATTAAACTGTACGTATTAAAAAAAATTGAAAAATGTTCGTGCTTACTATCGATAAAAATATTGGTCTTTGCGAAAAATTGATGGATACTATACGCGAAATCGCGATTTATTTTCCTAGTCTAGAAATCTTCCATTAACTCTGGACTGTTGCCGCGATTCCATGCGTGACGATCGCGAATGATGCAGACTTATCGTCATGCGTGTGTAAGCGTGTTGTCATTTCTTGGAATCTTGGTTGGCAAACGACGCCCAAGTCCAGTCACCGCGCGATGACACGAGAAGAACCGCATAATACTTCTCTATCATTATCATCAATCGTCGAGAAACAACGGCATCGCGATCATCGACTGAGAGATCGAGCGTTTCCTGATAAATCAAGGCATTATGCTATTCGCGTTACGAATTTCACGTTTACCTTATCGAAAATAAATAAATATAGAGTTTTAATTAATCTCGCATAAGTACCTCTAGTAGATTAAATCTGCAATTCTTCTTTCGTTTAGAACATGAACTTTGTATTATTTATTTATGAGAAAAATGCGAATCAAAATAAAACCAAGAAAAAATTCATAGATGCAACAATAGCTCGAGGCTATTCTTATCCATTTCTATTAATGTAGAAACTCTCCTGCAAACTGGGTCTTTTTTTAGCATAAGCGATATTTTATTCTCAAATTTTACCTTTAAATTCTTTAAATTTTTGATAAATAAAAGTTTTAATATTTGAGTTAAAAAACTATTTTACGTAACGTAATAGAGATGCTAAAATGTTATTCGAATTTTTTCATTTTTTAAATGTCTAGAACAATAGAAAAAAGACTCGGATTACAAATAAAGGAAGCAAAATATGATTGCAGACGGAGGGTAAACTCTTTAATCTCAAATTTACCTTTTACCTAATTCGTAGAACTAGAAAAAGATAAAGTTACACTAAGATTAAAGTTAATTTACTTTGATAAAAATGAAGAATGGCTTGGAGGTTATTGTTATATTTATGAATTCCTTGATTTTATTTTAATCCATGTTTTCTTCGAAGTATACAAAAGTATACAAAAGCGACTCCAACCAAAAGAAGAAATTTCACATCGAGAAACCGTAAACATCGAAAACAAATGTACAAAACGGTAAATTTGTTTCTTCGTTTTCTTTTGCACGCTCTTAAATGGCAAAAAAGAAAGAAAACTCTTCGATCAATATACTACTGAAACGAGAGCTAAGCAGCAATTTTCATGTCGTCGACGTTGCGTCTTATCGATTGTCATTCTTATTCTATTACGTAAACGCCTTTATTCCCAAATTTCATCTCAAGCAGTTACCAAGCGACTTCAAGCGAATCGATCTTGACGTGACAAAGAGGAAAGAATCTCATGGTGGAGACCTCGAGAAGATAAGCCGGAACACAGATCTTTGCATAACGCATAATATGCATAAAGCACAATGGGCTTTCTACAATAAGCCATTACTTAAGTCTCAAGCCGTAAGAAATTGACCAATCACAGTCGAATGCGAGAAGAACAATCAACCATGATTGGTTAATTTTTTACGGCTTAATGAAAGCTTAGATAATATGACTTATTGTAAAAAACCCATAAAAGAATTGTTCAATCCAAATCTTTTCTTTCTATAAAATAAAGAACTCTCTGATTGGTTGATCCTTTTATGGATCAAATAAAAATTAGTTAAATCTAGATTCACAATTTTGCTTTAAGAGGCCGTAAATTGTAAAAAATTGACTAATCATAGTCGAATATGAGAAAAATAAGTCCCGAAACACAGATGTAATAGATGTAATAAGCTTTAAACCGTAATATATTATCCAATTCACAGTCAAATATAAGAATAATAAACTATAATTCTTATTAATTATATTTCGATTTAAGGCTTATTACACCTATTGTGTTTCGGAACTAACACAAAGGTCTGTGTTTCGACCTGATCTCTCAAGATCGAGTAATGTATTCAGTTGGTCGAAATAAAAGACCAAACAGACACAATCCTCAGCAAGGATTAATCATCGACGCCACAGATACACGGAAAGAAACGTGCCATAACGCACGTAGTGTTTCCAGCTAAATAAATAAGGATTATTCAATATCGAATATCGCTCAAGAGCATCATATTTCGATCATCGCTATCTAGCATCCTAACCTCGGCGATCCAAGAATAGGACGCATCAGTGAGAAGAACACCCGCCGAACGGAACGTGCCGGCAAAACCGGTATTCGCATTATGCAGGGGCGAAACTGGGCGAAACCTCTCGCTCTTCTTGCTGCCCCGTCCGTGCACGGGAGCGTTACGATCATCCAGGCTGAATCGCACGCGATGCTTCGACCGATGTTGAGAAGTTAAGCGGCGTCTACAACGAGATTCTAAGACGGTAAAACTGAAGCTTTATACCTCAAGCTGGAAGAAATTGACCAATCACGGTCGAATACAAAAAGAATAATCGAGTACGATTGGATAATTTCTCACGGCTAAAGGCTTAAGTTTTACACCTTCAAATCTCATTGTAGACGCCCCTTTAAGGCCCCAATTCTCTAACCATTAAAAAAAGTAACGATCGTTATATATATGGTCGTTTTTTTAACCATATATAAAATCTCCCAGACAACATAAATGTCTAATAGACATGTCTAATAGACGTCAAAGATATGGTAATGACATCTTTTCATATACATATCCAAAAGATATCTAAATTGCATCATAAAGGCATCTTCTGGATTAAACAATGCTCGTTGTCAAGGCTGCGTAACAAGGTAACGATATCATTACTGTTATTAGAAGTTACAGAATAGGAGCCTCAAATAACAGAAACGTTCGTGAAACTCGGTGCCTACGGGAAATTCACGGGCGGAAAAGAATTAACTAATCAATGATATAATCAGAGGCAAAGAATTCGTGGGGGGACTCGACCGGATCTACGGATCGCAATCGCGCGCCGAGGATTCCGGATTAAAATAACATAAAAACGGCGGCCGAATAGAACCGGCCGCTGGATAATTCCCCATGACTCACCTGGAGATACACGAAAAACTGCAAGAAGTCGACGACGAGAGATCGGAAGGCAATCGGATGGCGCACCTTGATTCACGAACGACGACACGTACGTGGCGCGAGTCGGAAACGAAGTGGCGCGGCACAGCGCGACGCGGAATCCGCTCGCCATCGCGAGTGCCTCTCCTCTCGGCTCGGCCAATCGCCGCGCCGCGCCGCGCCGCGCGCGACCCCCACCCCGCACCCCCCGCACCCATGTCCAGTTCCGCCGTTCCGCTAATTCCGCGGAGAAAAGTTTTCGGTTGCTACCTGGACTTCTTCCGGTAGCGGCAACCTTGCAGCATCCGTTGTGGAATTTGCCAAGAGTGTGGCGCCGTTTTATGGCTCGGGAGGACGATGGGAATCTTTGATGAATTGTCCTTCCCTTTTCTCATTCGATCTTCTCTTTCATCGCGATCTTTCGACTTGATCTCTCCTTTTCTCAGTGTGCAGTGTATAATTTTCTGTACTTAAAATAGAATTAAATTTACATGACGAATAGGATGGAGAGAAAAGAGGAGAAACAAAAATCGAGAGAAGCGAAAAAAAGAGAACAAATATCTTCTAATGAAAATACTTAATCTTCGAATATATACAACTAAGCAGGAGGTAAATATTATTCTATTCGTCTCTGTGTAAAATTAAGGTTAATTATGTTCATTTTATAAAAATTTTAGACATTTGTTGAACACACACAACACAAGCTAATAGAATTTTAAAGATTTATTACACACACAAACATATACATAGAATTATCATATAATAAAATACAAATATCTTAACACATGTAAAATCATAATTGACAATCTTAAGTTGTTAAAACAATTCTGAATCATCCGTTGATTATTTTACATACAAAAACAATTTTCATATATAAAAGTGGTTTTTATATAAGTATAAATTTACTCAGAAACAATTCTTTAAAATAAAGACTATTGTGTTCAATAATCATTTGTGTTCAATAGTCATTAACCTGCTAGCTGTCAGATTTGGTATCGATACCATTCATCGAGACAGCATTGAGATCTTACCGCATCCGGCATATCATATCTTGCATGGTTTAATTATGGTCTATTTCGCTCAATAAAACGTTTCTTACGAGGACAATTCGAAACTGTTGAGCAAGTTGAGACAACTTGTTAATTCTTCGTCTCTAAGGTTCGTTTCACCAATGTAAAATTAATTTTAATCTCGGTTTAACTTATCGTTTATCTTTTCTATAATTCTCAGAGTTTGCGAACTCTTAGAATTCTAATTCTTAGAATTAGAAGAAAATAAAGAGTAAATTGAACCGAGATTAAAATTAATTTTATTGCATTGATGCAACCTGGTCCAAGGAGACCAAATAATACCAAAATCAAAGCCAACAGCCAGCAGATTGTTAGCGAATAGTTATTGAATATAATAATCTACTGTATTTTGAAGAATATTATCATTGCTTTGGAATAAATTTATACAAAAATCAAAGAATAATTCAAAACTTTTTGACAACTTATAGTAATAAAAAAAGATAAATAAATTAATTAACGAGAGATGGAACGCGGAAATGAATCGAATTGCAAACTTTATTATAATATTATTTGGAATAAAATAAATTTCATTTTATTTTATTCCAAATATATAAATAATAATATTATATATATAATGATATCTGTAAATATTGTATAAGAATACGAAACATTTAATTGACACTAGATAGAATATATGGCTATAGAATGCTATGGAATATATTGCACGCTAGGAACTTTACTTATTTTAAAACGTCAATGACACGAACAAAAGATCGTTTATTCTTTATCGTCGATCGAGGAGATAAACTAACCGACACTCTTCAGCACGTATCAAGGCCAGGGTCTGGCCTCACATTGATAGTTAACTATGAGTTTACAAGCTCCACCTCATTGAATGCACTAGAATTTAACTCTGTAATTGATTACGTTACACCCAATTTTTAGACATTTATAATTTATAAATATGATTAAACACATATATTTAAAAACAAATTAATAAAATATATACAATATTTATTGTTTTACCCAAAAGAATTAAAAATTTAAAGTTAAAAAATTAAAAATTTACAGGAAATACATTATATTTTAAAGTATAACTAATTTATTTTAGAAATTTTATAAATCAGCATCTCTTTATGGCCATTACGATTTATACTATATAAATCTGATATATAATCTCAAAAATAGTTGAATAAATTTTACTTTTGCACAAAAAAATTGTAATAATAAATTCTCGAATCCATGAATGAAGTCTTGTAAATTTATCAATGGCTTCTCGCTAATATCACAATTTTAAAATTCAATTCATTTATTAGGTTGAAAAATTCTTGAGTTTATTGCTTTGAAATTTCGATCTAAGCGATCCACTATTTGATTCAACGATAATTTTTTAAATTTCCTCTGCGATATTTCAATCCGCCACGTGAAACGCTTTGGTAGCATCACTTCGAATCGGTTCGGCTCGATCCCGCGGTTTCACGTTCCATCGTTCCGATATTGTCGGGATATATGGGTCACCCAGTGGTTTCCGGGGAACGGTAGGATTCCAGGGGGAGGAAGAAGTGCCGTTACGAAATCAGCTGTGCACCCGCTCGGGTTGCTCTAGGTCGCGCCAACCAGGAACTCCGTTTCCATCCCCGCGGAATAGCAGAGGGGCGACTAAAGGTCGCTCGTGGATAGATCAATACTAAACTACTACCCACATACCTACCTACCCTATCCGCCTCCCTATCGTGTGCTAATAAGAATATCCAGAGGATTAAAACTCTCTCTCTTTCTCTCTCTCTCTCTCTCTCTCTCTCTCTCTCTCTCTCTCTCATCATCGAGAGCCTTTCATCGTATATATCGCTCCTCCCTGGTGATCATTTCTATATATGTGATAATCGTTTCATCAACGGGCCACTTGCGATGAACCCTTACGCGAAATATCCCCTCTAAAGTGGATCTTTCCTCGGGAGCGAATTTAATAGTCGTGATATTAATTAAGGGAGTTTTCGCAAATAGAGCCACGAGAAGATGGAACTTTGTCTCCCAATTAATCCCACGCAGATCTCGCTTTGACGAGATTTTAATTGCAGACTTAATTACCTCAAGGTATTCAATATAGAAAATTAAAGTGGAATGTATGTAGAGAAAAATTAAAAAGCGATACAATGCGAATCCCGTTTTGATACGTGCATTTAATTGAATATATTCTTATAATTACGAAGACGTTTGACATGGAAAAATATAAAGTGATTATTAAATTAAAATAAAGACAAAGTGAATAAATAATAATTCCAATTTTAATTTTTGCATCTTAATTTTTGCAAATCGATATTATACTGATTTTTGTGAAAGTCTGATTGACTTTATTTATCGCTACATCGCGTTCATTCACCGCATTCCCTACGATTTCCCTGAGGGACGTGAAACCTACCTGTGGTGAGCGAAGCAAATATTTGTTCCAATGCTTCGTGATGTGATATTATTGTTCTATCTATTTCACAGGTTCGAAAAACAAAACGATAAATCGCGTTTGAATGTCAGTTAGATTAGCAAAATGACATACTCACGATATTTCAACGAAATATCCGCAATATGTATTGTATAATACAAAATTTGATATTCATTTAAAAATTATTAAAATTATTAAAATAAAGTAATGTAAAGTATAGGTAAAAAATGTTAAGTTCTATATCTGACATGACTCAAATTCAAAGAGAGAAAAAAGAAGAAAGGGAGAGAAAGAGAGAGACCACTGTCAATGCTAATAAGCTCTCGTTATGTAATGCCTGCTAATATTCGTCGGACCAAGTATACTCGTTTTCTGCGGAAATAAACTGAGTCGAGCCAAGAACGCGCTGGCACCTTGAAAATAGAGACAGTCGTTCGTTCACGAATGGTTTCTTGAAATTAAACAAGATTATAGTCCACTCGGAATGACACTTTACAACGACGCACGTATTTTTGCGGCCGTTGCTCAATCGATTGAGAATCACTGCGCCACGCTGTTCTCTCGGAGAACAGCCTCGGCATCCGGTCGTCGAGACTGATCGCTTTCGCAGAGTCCCCGCCCAGGAAGTAATACAATTCGACATATAAAGTTATCCTTATTAGACTTGCACTTGCGGTTCATACGTCACTTAAAAATTGCCAAGCACTGTCGCAACAAATTTAAGACCCGTTCCTGTTAGCTGACTTTTTTGTACTTTTTTGTTCATTTTTTCTCTTATTTTTTTCAACGTGAAAAAAAGAGGAAAAATAAACCGTACCAGAAGCTGGAAAAAAAACAGATCTGTACAGCTATTGAAAATAGTAGATTTTTGAAATGAGAATATTGAGACTATAATTTCTAAAAAATGATCTTTTTTGAAGACAACTTTCTGAGTAAATCTTATAAATTGTGAAAGTTAACGTATCCAAAATTCTTCAAATATATATATATATATATATATATAATTTATATATATATATATATATATGTGTGTGTGTGTGTATAAAATATAAAATGTCTCTTTTTCTAAAAAAAAGTTTTTTCTGAATTAATATTCTCCATTTATCTCGCGAATTAGAAAAATTATCTGACGATAGCGTGTCACAAAATATCTTCAGCACGGAAAAAATTTATCACGGAATCTACTTCGATCTACAAATCGATTATTTTTAGCGGCACGTGATGAACGGAATTAAACGGACAATGAAGTTGTGATAGTGGAACTACAAGACCGTGACCTCGTTACGCGATCGCGCAGTGTCCGCGAAATGAGAGGGAAATGAGAGAAGGGAGTTTATTCGTTAAGTATTTCGCCAAGATATTACGCCAAGTATTTTGCCGAAAACAGTTCTACCTATCGGTTGACGTTATGTCATAAACGTGGCTAACGAGACGGAGCCTCAACGTCTTCAGGACAGGAGCCAATGGCCGGTGGGCGTTCGTTCGTAGCGATCCGTCTGCCAAGTGCAGTATTTGCTCCTTTCTTCATTTTGCTTATTCCGTTCATACATGAGGATCTGACAGTCTTGATCAAAACTGTAGCAAGCCTCTTGGTCAGTCATCACTTGATTGTTACGATCTGATCTTACCTCTTTCAGTTGATTGTGTTACCATG